TGTCTCGAGCAGATGGCTTTTGTTCGATAAAGTTGAGCAGGATTTTTGATAAAGCGTAAAGAATTCCCATCAACAGATCCATATACATTATGTTCTTTTGTCTGTTGATGTGTAAGAAGATTATGAGTAGTTAGCCAATGTAATCTGGCCTCATCCCAGCCGTCCGATTCAACTAATGAAAACGTTTTACGGAGCGAAAGGAACGGTTCGTTGTTGGAATTTAAGATGATGTTGTTTATCATTGGTTCCGTCCGAAATATTACATAAATGGCAAATAGAGGAGAATCAATATTGCATGTATTGGTTACGGAATATCTTCGACCTGAAAAGAATCATTTTGTACTTTATAAATCAAAGCCTAAATAAAACGAAATCGAACCTTCAAATATTTTATTCTTGATACCAAACGTAGGCCAGGTGATGGGACATTGTTCAATCATAACGATTTGATGAAGTCGACGAGACGAGGATGAATCAAACGTTTCAAAAGTCGTTGATATAAGATTATTTTCAAAACTTTCTTTTTGAATATTTTCGACTTCTGATGCTCGTTTTATTTGCTTCGATATTGCTAAAGTATTGGAAGAACTATCAAATGTTACACTTGAAAATATATTAATTGGAGACATCGATACGTTCTTTTTAATAGCTATATCTTTTAGAGAATCGTTTTTCGCAAAAATATTGACACGTTTCGAAGGTGAGGACGAGGGTAAAACATCCGACAAAGTTGGCTCAAAGCTTTCTTTCGAAACATGGCTTGTCTTATCCTGTAAGTCGGTAGAAATGAGAGATGGTCTCTTAGTAAATTTCGTTTTTGGTGTATGACTAATTGGCTTCGATACAAGTCGCTTCTGGTTATATTTATTAATTCGATTTAAATATGTATTTCGTAGTCTTTTTTGACCTTTCTTCTTAGCCCAAGGCTCCACTACATTCATATCTTTAGGTTTTCCTTTTCGGTTTTTTACATTTTGATAAACTCCGAATTTATCTGCTTTCAACTGAATCTGAACACTTCGATAAAGTGATACGATCACCTCTGCTGGCCGCAGGTTTGTTCTTTTTTCAAGTATAGAATCTTTTAGGACACCAAAATATGATTCTATTTGAGCGTTTGACAGACGACCTTGTTCATATGTACGAATATCAACTGATGTTCGACCACTATTAAGATGTTGTATGGATAGGAGTACAAAAATCAATATTTATTCAATCACCTACATTAAATACAATAGCAGCATGTTCGAGAGAAATTAAAGTCATATTATGGTTTGATTTCGATTTTAGTGATTGAACTGAAAAATTTAGAATATTTCAAAAAAATAATGAAGCAAAAATAATTTTTCGAAGTTTTTTGGTATATTGGAAAAGGGTTGTTCGAGAATATTTGATAGATATTTTCACAAGAAAAAAATGAAACGGAAATATGCATCATCATTCTTGATTTCATTCGCAAGTAAGTAAACGATATAAATCAGAGATATATTTTTTTTATAATAGAAAATCAATGCTATGATTGATTGACGATTAATAGTTTATGAATGAATGGTTGCTTTACATAAAAACCAAAGTTGGTCCCGATGTTCAAGAAAATTTAAATTCTAATCATGGAAAAGAATACATTATCCAGCTAAGCATGTATCTTTTCGTAAGTTTCGATAAAATAAAAATTTTTATAAAGAATGTCACAAGTAATTTAGATATGCGCTTAATAGTTTAGCTCATTGAGAGAAAAATAAATATTCATTCATAAACGACTGTCTGTAATTGAAAACTTCATATTAAAATTAATAATTGGTCTGATAAATGCATTCAAGGTACTTTGCTATCGTTATGTAATAGGAGCTTTTGAGTATTTCAATGCCTTAGGAGCACTTTTGTCTTTTTGAGTACTTGACTCAGAAATGCTTTGTAAATATTCACTCGAGTAACTTGTTGAAAATTTTCTCATAAAATGCTATATAAACTGGACAACTACCCGAGGCAGTACCTGATCAGTTCCTATGCACTGAGACAAATTCTTCGCAGAGTACCTTGAACTCAGTACATTTACTCGACTGGTTGAAGAAACACAACAGCAAAATATTTGATTCTACGGAAATGAGAAATTAATTTGATCGTTTTTTTTTCTATCATTTATATTTCATATTACTTCTTCATCTTTCTGTTTGTACTACATTCCCGTACAAGCGCAAAAATAATAAGTGTTTATACATTCAAGATAATAACAGATGATTTACTGAGGTAGTATTAATTGTATACCTTGACCAGGTGATATAGCTGATATAGAATCAATAGGAAATGTTGGTTTTTCATTTTCAAGACCATAATGATAGACAAAAACTTGTCGTTGTTCACCTGGTGCATTGTAAAAATTTAAAATTTCATCAAAACTAGCATGTGCATATGTACATGTTGCACGATCATCAACTAAAATTGTTAGTGCCGTCCAAAGAAATTTATAAAATGATGCATTGAAACCAGAATCT